AAAGATTTGGAGATTCCTGAGTCCCTTAAACAATACCACTTAAAACCATCAAAACGTTGTTCTAATTTCAAACACAGAGTTGCAATTCCACATGATAGGTGGTACAGTAGGTGCATACACCAGGTATGGTGGGGTTACAAAGAAACTCACATCAAATGTGCCTGGGGAGGTCAGGCAAATGGAGTCTTGAAAGATAAGGCAGAATGGGCAAGGTGAGACAGGACAATGGAGAGGTAAGCAGGGGCAGAGGTGGTCCAGACATTGAAACATTCTGTTCTACGTATTTTATGTACATAAACAAAGTGCACTTTCTATTTGCAAGACACTGTCCCTATTTGCAGGAGCTCTGGTGGTATAGTGGTTAAAGCATTTGGCTGCTAACCAAAAGGTTACTGGTTCAAACCCACCAGCCACTCTGTCGGAGAAAGATGAGGCTATCTGCTTCCATGATTTACCGCCTTGGAAACCTTGTGAGGCAGTTCTATTCTGTTCTATAGGGTCACTGTGAGTTGGAATTGAGTCAATGTCAGTGAGCTTTCTGTTTTGGTTTGTTTGTAGTCCAGGCCCCTCATCTCACATACCCCTTGTCCAGCCCTAATTCAGGGCAATGCCACCGATAATAATCCTCTCCAGCTTCTCAGTTCGGATTGTGTTCCCACCTCATCACTGGTCAGCACATCCCAAGACCCGGGAGCAGCAAGATTCCTTGCTCTGTTTAAGTATCTGTGATTAAAGGATGTTGTAAAAAATACTAAAAACTAGAAGAAGGGCTCTCATTATTCTAATTTAATGTGGCAAAAAGGACATGGGCATACTGAAACCTGCAGATTGATTTTGCAAGTGAAATGTAATTTTAAATCAGTTTTCAGCTCTGTTCCACCTCTCCACTGTTTCATAATTCTTTAGTGCTGGGATATCTACAAATCCTTTCTCAGCTGTTGGGTTGAGAGTTTGGTAGTGATGTACTAGGTTTGAACCCTAGCGGAGAGGGTGCTAGGGAAGATCATTAAATATAATTAATAGCCCAAGGTCAAAGTGGCCAAGCACAAGGCAGAACAGCTGCCCTCTGAATTTATAAAATAGCACACCCAAATAAAAACACAAAACGTCCTACAAAAGTTAAGCATGGTTAAATGCAGAATTTATCATACAAGTCAGCATTCCATTCCTAAATATATACCCAAAAGACTTGAAAGCAGGGACTCAAATAGATACTTGTACACTGTTCAGAGCAGCATTATTTACAAGAGCCAAAAGGTGGAAACACCCATGTGTCCACCAACAGATAAATGGATAAACAAAACGTGGTATATTCATACAATGGTGTCTTATTCAGCTGTAAAGGGAAATGAAGTTCTGATACATGCTACATCATGGATGGATGAACCTTGAAAACCTTATGCTGAGTGAAGTAAAACAGTTCCTAAGGGGTAAATGTTGTGTGATCCCACTCATATAAAATATATAGGACAGGCAAATGCATGGAGACCAAAGTAGATTAGTTGTTATCAGGGCCTGGGAGTAGGGATGAATAGGGAGTTAAGAGCAAAACAAAAGCACAAGCCACCTGTGGGGAAGTTAAGAGGGAAGGGTGTAGGTATGTCATCTCTCTCAGCTCCAAGAGGAGAGTACCAAGGGTCACAATGCAAGCAATACAGAAAATCTGGTTATGCCTTTAAGGCCCAACCTTCCACTATGCCTACAATGAAGTCTGTGTGAAACCAGTCAGTAAAGTCAACAAATGAACAACTATCCTTTTCATTTTGAAAGAAGAACAAACATAATGGCCTATGGTCTACTCAAATTTAATTTTTTTTTTCAACAAAGGTAATTACTGTCTGGTAGCTATTATCAAGCTGTATAAATTAATCATTTACCATGGTGACAACAGCCTGCCTCAAACTGGCATGAATGAATTCATGAATACGATCTTTGAAAAGGTAAGTGAGGCTTTTCTGCAGTTTCCTACAACATTAAATTAAGATTCAACTTCCAAGAGACTCTCCAGGACTAAAACAACCCAGGCTGATAAGGTCTACCAGCAACCACACACACCTGGAAACCAGAGTAGAAAACTATTATCACCTGTCTAACCAAACCCAAGGGAGTTCTCTGGTAGCATAGTGGCTAAGGCACTTGACTGCTAATCAGAAGGCTGGCGGTTCAAACCCACCAGCCACTCCTCAGAAGGACAACGAGGCAATCTACTTCTATAGTGATACTGCCTCAGAAACCCAAGGAGGGGTCGCTGAGTCGGGTCCGACTCGATGGCACATAAGAACAACAACAACCAAACCCAAAATCCACTGCTGTCTAGTCAATTCCAACTCATACTGATCCTATAGAACAGAGTAAAATTGCCCCATCGGGTTTCTAAGGCTATAAATCTTTATGGAAGCAGACTGCTTCATCTTTCTCCCTTGGAGTAGCTGATGGGTTCAAACCACTGACCTTTCCGTTAGCAGCCGCATGCTTAACTAATGCACCACCAGGGCTTTTTCCTATTGAACCAGAGGGTTTATATCAAGCCCTGCTTACCTATTAGCTGCTGCACACAGCATACAATGACCTTGCATGTAATATACGAAGCTATAGTAATTCATTTTTAGGCTCACTCTGGTATTTCCTTTGTTAGAAGCTCACCAAAAACTTGAGGAATATTTGATTTTGAGTGAGAGGAGGGATGGTAAAGAATTTCCACTCAGTGAGCTCAGACAATAACGGAAAACACATTCACACCACTAAGTAGTAATCCCATTGCAAACCTTGATTCTAGATTCCCAGCACAATCATCCATTAGAATGCAGCCTGTAAAAATGAGACAGCCTCTCCAACTCAGCAACTCTAGAACGTTAAGAGATACCTGACAAGAACTCTCGGGGACTAACTGATGTTTATTCCAAGGCAATGACAGAAGTCTCTCATTGCAGCACAAACTTTAGCTTGGTACCACCTCAGATCTTCCATAGGGAAGGCAGTAGACATGCGATGTAGATTTGGGGCACAGCTATTTTGGAACATATACACATTGGCTTCTTCCCTGACAAACACCCACACTTACCAGACCAGTCCAAAAGGCAAAGAATAGGTATAACCATGTCTTATCTGTGCATTTCCTATAAATCTGGGGTCGCCATGCTCTTTGTCTGGGAGTCCTTTCTGCAGAAACCTTCCAGAAAAAGGAAGAGGGGTTGAGGAGAAAAAGATCAATAACCACATGGGCCCCAACCTGGAAAAGGAATCCAAACTTACTCCAAGACAGCTTAATGAAACCAATCCCCGCCCCGCCACCCCTTTAAAAAATTTCTTGGCCGCCTGAAACTGGCATGGAGCCTTTGAAACATCTGCTCTGTGAGGAGCGAACTGAAGTCCCCCGTCGCCAAGTCTTTACCTGGAAGTGTACCTGGAAGCGGCCGCAACTTCACGGCCGCAGCAAGCATCTCCCTCTCCTCGGCCCCAGCATCTGAGTGGGATCTGGGGTCCTCTCCCGCACCAGATACTGAGCGCTCCCCCACCCCGTCCCACCCAGTCCCGCGAGTTAAAGAAGACGGAAGCATTCAAGACAAGCAGGTGCCTGCGGAAAGAAGCCAGACCCTTTACCCGAGTTTCGCTCCGGAGGTTGCGAGATCTTACCTGGTACTCCGCGCCGAAGCACTGCATCCTGTGCCCGGTCGCTGGGGCCGCGCACTGGGAGCGCCGCCGCCAGGACCGTCCCGAGACGCAGCGCCCGTGACCCGGCGGGTAGGTCGTGGTCCCGGCGGCCGAGGGGCGGAAAGGGGCGCAGCGCCGCCTCGCGGCCGCTTCGCCGTAACACCGCGCCCCGACCCCGACTGCTGTGGCCGTCTCCCGAGCGGCCTCGGGCGTTTCCGTTCACTGGTTTTGCCTTTTCTGGTTTTCTGCAGGTCGTTGAACTTTTATCAGAGAGCCCTGCCATGCTAGAAAGTAGAGGCCCAGGACATTTCCTTGCTCGCTATTCTCAACCACCCTCAGTGCTAGCGGCTCCCATGAAGCTCAGAGGGCGGGCTGGACCCGAGCTGACCTGGGATCCTCCACGATGTTGGACGGTCCTCGCTAGGGGCCTCATAAGGTGGTCGGCCTGTGAACAGGACATAGAAAGCCTCAAGCTTATCTTTCTGAGGGCTGGGGAGCAATGTAGTGGAGTATTACACATGACTAACACCTGCGGTTAGCTTCCATCCGGCGGCTGGGTCTCATGGCGACCCCATGCACGTCAGAAGCAAACTGCTGCCCGGTCTTGCACCATCTCCATGATCTGAGCCATCACCATGATCAGTTGTGGATCAGATCGTTGTGATTCCTAGGATTTTTATCGGCTGATTTTTGGACCGCCAGGCCTTTGTACCTAGTCTTAGTCTGGAAGCTCTGCAGAAACCAGCACTTCATCAGCATCATAACAAGGTCCAAGCCTCCAGTGACAGATAGGTGGTGGCTGCGCTTGAGGTGCCTTGGCCACGAACTGAACCTGGTTCTCAAGCGTGGAGCAGGAGAACTCTACCACTGAACCACGAGTGCCCCGCTTAACAGTTAAACAGCACTTATTAGGTGCCAGACCCTGCTCTGTTTTGCAAGCATCATTAACTTACAAGGACAAAACTATCTTTATTCCCCTTTACAGAGCTCTGGTGGTGTAGTGGATAAGGCATTTGGATGCTAACCAGAAAGTTGTTGGTTCAAACCCACCAGCTGCTTTGTGGAAGGAAGATGAGGCAATCTACTTCCCTAAAGATTAACAGCCTTGTAAGGATGGTCGCTATGAGTTAGAATCAAATCGATGGCAGTTTTTTTTTTTTTAAACAAATGAGGGAAACTGAAGCACAGGAGAGTAAAGATGTAAGTTGCTAGTGAAGACAGAGCTAGTAAGCTGTAGACAGGCATTGGACTAGATACTTTGGATCCAACGTCCTGTGTTTTAACCCAATAGACACTATTTTTACTCTCAGTCTCATGGTAAATGAGAGTGGTAACTAACATTGACTTCTCATTTTGTACACAGAACACTATTTATGTCTGTATTAACTGATTTAATTCTACAACAACCCTATGAAAGGGGTGCTGTTAATGGTCTCAATTTTCAAGAAACAAGGAAGGTAAAGCACAGAGAGGTGAAGTAACTAGCTAAAGTGTCACAGCTAGTAGGTGGCAGAGCTGGAATTCTGCTTTGGTGTGTGGCTTCAGGACGTGCCATACTGAGCAAGGGCTTTGGGTGGACAGATATTGGTTTGAATTCCAGCTGAGCCACTTACTGTGTGAAGGTGGGCAAATTAGTAAACCAGCAAATGGCAGTTTCCTCACCGGCAAAATGGTGAGAATGCCAACTTCATAAGGTTGTTATGAAGGGTAAAGAAAGTACCTTAGGCAGTGCCAGACAGAGTAGGCACTCCTGGTGATAGTAATAAAATGCAGTCATTATGAAAGTAATTAATAATAACATTTGAGAGTTAAGCCATCAGGGTGAATTGGATGTTGGCTGGAATGATGCAGTTTCACAGAGGGCTCTGGGCAAATCCACCATCCTAATTATGATTTGGAGTCCCTGGGTGGTACAAACAGTTAATGTGCTTCATTGTTAACTGGAAGGTTGAAGGTTGGAGTCTGCCCAGAGACACATCAGAGAAAAGGTCTGGCAATTGACTTCCAAAAACTCTGCCATTGAAAACTCTGTGGAACACAGTTCCATTCTGAAACACATGGATCCACCATGAATTGGGGTGATCTCAATGGCAACTGGTCCACAGATATTTTAGTTATGATTCAGTTGCTGAATTCTGGTAGTGCAAAAAGGTGGAGAAGGATAAGGATCTCTTCAAACTACCCTGGGATACAGTAGGAGTTCAGTCACAGTTGTAGCCGTGGTGTCACTGGGGGGAGGGCAGTGGAGACCACACTAGGTGACATTGTCAGAGGGAATGACATCAAAATGGCAGTCTATAAAACTTTTGTGCACTGTTTCAGCAGAAATTTATTATTTTTTAAATAAAATTATCCCTGTAGTTAGCTACAACATCAAAAACTTTTTTTTTTTTTTGGAAGCCTAGCTTACATGTATCAGTATACCTTCAAGGCTAAACCTGTATGCCACTTTACTTTTTGAATTTTCTAATGCGCTCAGGTCAGAGCTGTCATTATTGCCCAATTACAAAGATGCTTCGAATCGTGGTTTCATCTGCATGTGCTGCAAACATGAATTGCTGTTTTCATTGCTGCTGGTGTTTTTACAGTTATTGGTTTTGACAATTTTTTCTAGGGTTTAGCTATAATATTGCCCTATGCTGTAAATCTTTATGGAAGCAGGCTGCCTCAGCTTTCTCCCATGGAGCAGCTGGTGGGTTCAAACCACCAACTTTTCAGGTAGCAGCCAACGGCTTAACCCCTGTGCTGCCAGGGCACCTTTTACACTCATTTCTAGGACTCCTCTTTCTGAAGCCCTTTATGATCCATGGCAGTTTTGAGAAACCATTTTCTTCTTTCTATGTCTTTTAAGAACTAGTAAAAGTTCTAACAGCAAAGTCATAGGAAAGCCTTTAGAATGATTCTTTGATGTGGCTGGAGTCTGAACAGAAGGAAGGTTATGGCCTGATTGCTCTTCTATGTTCTGAGGAACATTAGACTTGTAGATCCTCCTCAAAGGAAGTGTCCTATGCTTAGATCCCAGTTGCTGCGCTTTGATTCCAACTCATGGTGACCCCATGTGTACTACTGCCCCCCATAGGGTTTTCATGGCTTGGACGTCAGAAACAGAATTGACAGGCTTTCCTCTTAGGGAGCCTCTGTTGTTGTTGTTAAGTGCACAGTGACCCCATGTACAGCGAACAAAACACTGCCTGGTCCTGTGCCAGCCTCACGATCCTTGTTGAGCCCATTGTGTAGCCACTGTGTCAATCCATCTTATTGAGGGCCTTCCCCTCTTTCGTTGACCCTCCACTTTACCAAGCATGATATCCTTCTCCAGGGAATGGTTCCTTCTTACAACATGACCAAAGCAGGTGAGACAAAGTCTGGCCATTCTCACTTCCAAGGAACATTCTGGCTGCACTTCCTCCAAGACAGATTTGTTAGTCCTTTTAGCAGTCTGTGGTACTTTCAGCATTCTTCGTCAGCACCACAACTCAAAAGCATCAACTCTTTTTTGGTCTTCCTTATTTATTGTCCAGCTCTCACGTGCATATGAGGCAACTGAAAATACCATGGCTTGTGTCAGGTGCACCTTAGTCCTCAAGGAGACGTCTTTCCTCTTTAGCTCTTGAAAGAGGCCTTTTGCAGCTGATTTGCCCAGTGCTATACATTGCCTCCGAAGGAAGGTTGGGCAATCTACTTCCATAGTGATATTGCCTCGGAAACCCAAGGAGGGGTCGCTATGAGTCAGGTCTGACTCGATGGCAAATAACAACAAGACAATATACGTTGTCTGATATCTTGACTGCTGCTTCCATTGGTGTTGATTGTGGAACCAAGTAGTATGAAGTCTTTGACAATTTCAATCTTTTCTCCATTTATCATGATGTCTCTGGGTGGGTTCAAACCACCAATCTTTTGGTTAATATCTCGTCACCTAACCATTTGTGCCACTCTTTGGAAATACTGCTTCCTATTCCCCTTTTGGGAGCTCTGGTAGCATAGTGCCTAAGGCAATTGACTGCTAACCAGAAGGCTGGCGGTTCAAACCCACCAGCCACTCCTTGGAAGGAAGATGGGGCAATCTACTTCTGTAGTGATATTGCCTCGGAAACCCAAGGAGGGGTCGCTATGAGTTGGGTCTGATTCGATGGCACAGAACAACAATTCCCCTTTTAGAGCATCACAGTATCCATCAATATATTAAAGATTTCATCACAGTATATGTGCGCACGTGCATGCATGCATGCAGTATGTGTGACAACCATTTACACTGTAGAAAACATTTTGGGAACTCATGTTAGAGACTATTGTTGGAGGACATGTTCAACTGAATTTGCTTTGAGATAGCAGGGTCTTAGAGTGGGTGGAATGATTTCCAAGGTGCTTAAAAAGAATTCCTCTGGCCCAATGCCTATCCTAGCTGATCTAGAGCACCTAAAATTTCTTTAATAGAAAAGAAAACCTTCTAACCCACATTGAAGGACAACTTAAAATACAAATGGCCCTGGGAGAGTGCATTTGATTCCATACTAAGATATTAATGGAGCCCTGGTGGTACAGTGGTTAAGCACTCAGCTGCTAACTGAAAGGTCAGTGGTTTGAATCCACCAGCCACTCCACGGGAGAAAAAGATGAGGCAGTCTGCTTCTGTAAAGATTGACAGCCTTGGAAACCTTATGGGGTAGTTCTACTCTATCCTAGAGTCACTATGAGTTGGAATTGACTCAATGGCAGAGGGAGTCATTTGTTTTTTGGTTTAAGATATTAATGACCAATACCAGATTCCTCCCTCTCTCTCTAGGGACAAGGAAATAGACTCCTCTTCCCACTCTTTTTTAAAAATATTTTTTATTGTGGTAAATATGTAACAAAGCATTTGCTGTTTCAACATTTTCACATTTGCAATTCAGTGACATTAATTATATTTATCATGTTTTGCATCTATCACAACTGTCTATTTCTGAATTTTTCCATCACTCTTAACAAAAACTCAGTGCCCCTAAACAATGACTCCCTATTTTCCA